CCTTGCGTGCCAAGATGGAATGAATCGCCTTTTCAGTGGCCAGAGGAAAAGGCGTAAAACGCAAAAGCTGCTACCAAAAATGGAAAAAGTAAATGAAACCGAGTTTTTTCAGCTGTTTATTTATTTGTTTGCTGATTATGGAATTGTTAAGGACACRMAAAGAATGCGAACGATTTGAAGGCTTGCCGCTGTGCCAGGTACATTAATTGGAGCAGGTGCAAAATTTGGTGGAAAACAAAACAAGCCGAAAGCGTGATCAAGTATGGGGCAATAACGATTCTTTTGCTGTAGTTATTGAACAATTTCTAGGGTATTCGAGTCTCGATGCAGTTGGAAAAGGAAAAAAGCTTTTGCTCATTGTCTGAGTTTTCATATTAATTAATTTCCATTTCCGTTTTCCGTTATCTTGCGCACGCCGATTTTTACCTTTATGCAGACTCAGCAATTAATCAAGTTTAATTACGCCCTAACGTTTCGAGTTAGCCGGGCCTCCACATAGGGATTCTAGCGAACATTGGCCGCATTAATCACTCGAATATGCCCAAACATTTCTCATGTGTGCGAGTGAGCGAGCGTGGGCGGAAGTGCGGCGKGGCCTTGGCATCCCATGAGATAAGAATAAGAGTCTCATAAAAAGGGCCGTCTCACGTAAACAGCGCATTTAAATATTTGCCAGGATAACGACCCATTGTCAGATCATTTAATGACCTCTCAACTGAAAAATATGTTTGAAATAATTTTAGCCGAGACACGTAAGGCACTTGTGTTCCACAATAGTGGCACGACTTAGCGAGTGCAACAACCGGCGCAAGCTGTCACAGTCTGACTGCTATGTCCAGTAACAATGAATTGTGGATATTGTTGATGAGGATTTTGTGTACCCTGTGGGCCTTGTTTCTTAAATCCAATTGGTATATTTCATGTAACACCCTAGAACTACTCTRCATACACCAATATATGCAGTTACATTTTTATTTTTGTATTGTTGTTTAATCAGCTTAGAATTATTTTATTACATATTTTTACCCTGTTTTAATAAATAGAAAGATATCAATTTACAAAGCAAAATAATCAATCGAAACACCTATAAATAAATATATATATATGTACATACTTACATACATCTATGAAATCTATGAAATAATTTAATATGAAATAATTGAAATAATTTAAATCAAACCACATTCGCGATATATAATATCGTTCAGTTAATTAAATTTATTTGATGAACTCGACGTTGTTGCTCTCTACGTTTCATTTATCACATTTTTATGTGCAAATCTTCGATTCAAGGATTCCCCATATTAATGCACACACGCAGACACACTGTATGTATAATGACGCACACACACACGCATGCACATGCGTGTCAACTGATGCCGCGACCTCCAGCTTTGTATCTAATTGGCAGCAACGTTGTGAATGCAAACAATTCACAGCTGCAATTTGACAACAATGAAATACAATTTCGGTGTTTCAGAACCAATTGAGACAATCTTTGTATGCGCAATTGGAAGATATCTTAACATATGGATTGTCTGGCTGGGCATTTCCCCCCACACACTAACACTTACGCGCACACACAGCTACATACATACATACATATACATTCCTCATGGCTTTGCTGTCTGTCAAAATTGCCAAAAACAACAATAATGGCAACTACAATAACAACAGATGTTCGAACTTCGAAGCTGCGCGAAAAGGTAAACGAGTTGCGCTCACGATTATATCCAAAGAGAGCGAGAGAGCAATGTAACTGGTTGGCTTCGTTCGTGTGAATGTGTGTATGCGTGTAAGTATGCGCATGTGTGTGTGGGAGGCATGTAACACTGACTATGACCTCAAACCACCCACAGTTACAATGAAAGCCGCTTGCGCTGGCAGCGATGCAAGCGTCAACAGCGATTTTGCATTTTGAAGAAACAATTTTTGCATTTTCTGACGTCACACGCAACAAAATACTGTTGCTGAGTTTGCCAATGTTTGTTGTTGTTTCTTCTTTGTTGTTAGTTTGCTGTTGGTTTAGCTGCTTGTTGTTGTGCCCACAAAAGGTGCGCTTACAATTTTCTCCACTTTCTACAAGAAAAATGTGAGAAATCAAAAAGATGCCACCGCTTTGTCTCATTTTGTGTAAGTGTGTGTGCCTGTGTGTGCTTGAATCTATATTTGTGTGTGTGGCGGCCACAAAAGTTCACTGAGAAAGCAACTTGAGACTGGGCTAATGTTGAAATGAAAATAGACCGCAATTTATTGATAAAATCAATCAAAATGTAGCGCTGATAAGTCTGCTCTCTGTGTACTATTTTATTTATTTTGTTCACTTATACAATGGCAACCCTTTCAGAACAGATGGCTGGCTGGAGTCCAAAAGGCAGCGCAGTCAACATTKGCGGCGGCATTCAATTGATGCAAAGTGGATGGAAGAACATCGAAAGAAAAAACGTGCGTGGTTTCAATTGACGATAGGCAGCGGGGATGCCAAGAATTGAGGGAAGGAACTCTCAACAAGACGTATTTTCATGCTAAAAACGTTCAAAATGTTTGTTTACAATTTACAACAAAATCTTCACACACACAAACGCAAGCGCGCGCACACTCGAATGAAAGAGAAGAGAGAAGCAGCTAAATTCTGAATGGGAGAGCAGCAGTGAGAGTGAGTACCGATCGAATAAGTAGTGAATGAGTATCTGTGTTGATCTCTTGTTGTGATTAACGGCCTGCGTGTATGTGTGTGAGTGAATAATATTGTGGGGGGATGACATCACCGCACGTTGCTGTCGCAAAGTTCGCACTATACAATTTTTTATCTCCCTCTCTCTTGCTAAATTTTTGTGCTCTCCAAATGTGTTGGAGACGCCAACGTACAGTGCTTGTACTTATGCACATGTGCGTGTGTGCTTATTCGTGGGGACTACAGTGGGCTAATGTAAWTAAAATTATACTTATATATTTTTAAATATATCTAATTATATACATATATATAAGAGTAAACCATACCTCATTTATTGATTTTATTATTTTTACTATTGTATTATTCTAATTATTTCAGGCAATGCAACAAGTGACAGGGCTGCGTCGAATGTAAGCATTGCAGCACTGTGCGCTTGCATGTAGGCGCAACAACTCAAACGGATTTAATAGTTGACCAGCAACAAGAGAGCGCCCACCGCAGAGAGAGAGATAGAGAGAGAGCGTGTGCTTGAGCTTACGCCAACGCCAACTTTTATTTTTTTTACGTTTTACGCGCTCTTGCTCGCTGGCTGCTGCTTGCATGTGTGCGTGTATCGCTCTCTGCTCTAGACCTGGGGCCTCTCAATTTTCAATCAGTCGTTCGGAATTCGCGAAACTATGCGGTCGGCGTACGAAGATAGCGCTGCCGTGTCTACGGATAGCAGCAAATACCACACCAGCTATAGCTATAATAACCAAACGAATAGTAATAACAATAATTATCATAAAAATTATAATGGCAACAACAACGGTAATGGCATACCCTATCACGCGCGCGAAAACTCATTGCCCTTTAGCTATGGCAATGCCAAAGCAGCGACGCCGCTGCGCAAAACGCCAACTCCGACGCGCGCCGATAGTTTTCTCGACTTCGATTTTGGATTGAGCAGCAAGAGCAACGGCAGCACCAATAATAATAATAATAACAATAATAACTATAATAGCAGTAGCAGTACGGGCAGTGATATGATAAAGCCGCAGCCACGTCTAACCAGCCCTCTGCTGGTGCGCAAAACACTCGGCGGCAGCCGTTCAAACACAAATGGCAATACGAATGGTTCGAATACAAATACCGTCATATCGAATACCTATCATTACGGGTCGGCGACGGGTGTACC